GGGGAGCCGGGGAGCGCGGGTGCGGGAGGCGAGGTGAACGGCACGGCGGCCGTCGGGGGGCTGGTGGTGAGCGCGCAGGGCGTGGGCGTGGGCGTCTTCCTGGCAGCCTTCATCCTCACCGCCGTGGCAGGCAACCTGCTTGTCATCCTCTCGGTGGCCTGCAACCGCCACCTGCAGACGGTCACTAACTATTTCATCGTGAACCTGGCCGTGGCCGACCTGCTGCTGAGCGCCACGGTGCTGCCCTTCTCGGCCACCATGGAGGTTCTGGGCTTCTGGGCCTTCGGCCGGGCCTTCTGCGACGTGTGGGCCGCTGTGGACGTGCTGTGCTGCACGGCCTCCATCCTCAGCCTCTGCACCATCTCCGTGGACCGGTACGTGGGCGTGCGCCACTCGCTCAAGTACCCCTCCATCATGACCGAGCGCAAGGCGGCCGCCATCCTGGCGCTGCTCTGGGCCGTCGCCCTCGTGGTGTCCGTGGGGCCGCTGCTGGGCTGGAAGGAGCCGGTGCCCCCCGACGAGAGCTTCTGCGGCATCACCGAGGAGGCGGGCTACGCCGTCTTCTCCTCGCTGTGCTCCTTCTACCTGCCCATGGCGGTCATCGTGGTCATGTACTGCCGCGTGTACGTGGTCGCTCGCAGCACCACGCGCAGCCTCGAGGCGGGCGTCAAGCGTGAGCGGGGCAAGGCCTCGGAGGTGGTGCTGCGCATCCACTGTCGCGGCGCGGCCACCGGCGCCGACGGGGCGCAAGGGGTGCGCAGCGCCAAGGGCCACACCTTCCGCAGCTCGCTGTCCGTGCGCCTGCTCAAGTTCTCCCGCGAGAAGAAGGCGGCCAAGACCCTGGCCATCGTCGTGGGCGTCTTCGTGCTCTGCTGGTTCCCCTTCTTCTTCGTCCTGCCTCTCGGTGAGTGACCCCTCTCCCACCGGCCCCTGCTCCTCCTCCCCAAACCTGCGCAGGTGCCTTTCTGGCCCTGTGACTTGGGCGATCCTCCACTTGAATATGGAAGGTTGGTTTAGCAGCTTCCTTGGTCTCTTACTTTGTAGGGGGAGAATAAGAGGCTCTTCACTCCTGCAGGTTTCGTTTTTCAGGCTTCTAACTTTTCTGTCTTTCCTCTCTTTGTTGCTATTACAAGCCCTGGGCTTGTTTTACTTTACCAGGATCTCAAAACGTAAAAGGTTGGTGGAAATCTGTGTGGGCATATGCCCATAGTATGCGATCAGCAGTGCCCCCCCTAACTATACCCTTCTCCCAGAAGTGGGTGCACAGAGCGGGTGGGCCTGCATGTACTCATTCATTCGTGGGCAGGAAGCCCTGG